AGGCATGAGCCACCACGCCTGGGCTAGTATCTCAATTTTAAAAGATCTATTTATATATAAATCATGCTGTTTTTGGAAATCATTATTTTAAGTTAGATGAAGGTACTTAAGGTCTTCTTAGGATTACTATGCAAGTTATGGCCGGGCATGGTGGCTCACGCCTGTAATACCAGCATTTTGGGAGGCTGAGGTGAGAGGATCACTTGAGCCCAGGAGTTGCCCAAGACCAACCTGGGCAACATAATGAGATCCCATCTCTAAAAATAATAATAATAAAGTATTATTATGCAGGTTAATTTTCATTACATGTGTATGTTTAGGGTCTTAAAAGGACAAAACCTTATAAAGCTATTTCAAGTGTAACAGCTTCATTTTAGAATTCAGCTGATAGGTCCAACAAGATACTAACTCATGCGGAGTATCTCATAGCTAGGTAATGTCAGAACATACACTAGAACTAGTTTTCCAACACTGTTATATTCTCTTTACATTTAATCACCTTTGAAAGACTGTTTGTTGTTGAAACAAACAATTACAGAAAACAGCAAAACTAATGGTTTTTATGAATTATGACAAATGTCGTCATAACATCATCATCCATGAAAGAGAACCTTGCTATCCACTTCAGAAGCCCACTATATCCCACCTCCTAATTATGCCTTCTTTCCTCCCCATCTCAAGAGTAATCACCATCCTGATACGAATTTGTTGAAGAAACTGGAATTTTTTGTCCTGTAGAGGTTCCCTCAGTTGGAATTTTATTGATTCAATTTCTGTAGTTGGTTGAACATTCCCCATTTCCCTTATGTTTCCTGGAAGTCAGTAGTTATATCTAGAGCTCCTCTGCCCAATATGGTGGCCAGTAGCCACATATAGTTACTTAAATTTAAATTCAGTTACGTAAAATTAAAACTTAGTTCCTCAGATGTACTAGTCGTATTTCAGGTGCTCAGTAGTCACATGCGGTTAGTGTCTACCATATTATAATAGATAGTACAGATACAGAACATTTCTGACATCCTAGAAAGTTTTATTGGACATTTCTGATTTGGAAGCTTAATCAGATTCAAATCTGATTTTTAGGAGAAAGAAGACTAATTCATATATAACCTTGTACTTTCTGGTTTCCCTGTTTCTGTTGTTAACCACTGTGGTACTCAACGTTAGATCCTTAATACATTAGGTGTTGCAAACTGGAGATACTCACTTTTATCATTCTTCATTTTTTTTGTTGTTGGAATACATAACCTTTATTTTTACTAGTTTTATAAATAAACTTAGACTTTTCGTTGTTTAGCTTTGTTGACTTGATTATAAATTAAGTATAATTGCATCTTTTTGCAATTAAGTTGCCTTAATCGAGTTGATTAAGTTGATTAAAATATTTGAGGTCCAGAATTGACAATAGTTTGTTGCCGATCTGTAAATTACTATAAATTTTAGCATCACAGCAGGTATCAACATACTAATTTGGTGGCCAAGTATCATAGTTAGATTAGTTAGATAACCTAGTTAACTGAAAGCTAAGGTAGACACAAAGCTGCATTTCCTGGTTATTCTCTGATACAGTCATACTGTAGAGTCTGGTCTGTTACCTACTCTACCATTTGTATGGTATTCACAGTGCAATATGCAATCCCAGATGTATACATTCACTGTGAAGGGCATAGTATAGGC